TTTATTGTTGTTGTTGTTGTTGTTGTTGACCAAAGTCTACTCTGGGTGGCTATGAGCTTCATTCTTAATCAATAATCCATGATATCAGAATAAACTATGAATCAATAAAGGCAATTCTCAATTTAATAAACAACCAAAAGTATGGGAAACAAGCAGCCCACCCAGTGGCTATTTCTGCAGAGGCCGTGTTCCCGCCACCCCTCAGTGAATTTGCTACTGCAGTGGTGTTGATAAGTATCAGTGGCAGCAACGTCCTGACATTTTTTGAAAAACTTAAGGATCATTCCCCCATGCCCTTGTTTGCAAGTGTAATCATACTCCTAGGTGTAGGATTCCATGTATGATCAAAATGTGCAGAGTGTGTGTGTGCTGGGTTTTAATGGAGGAAACTGTGTGTATATGTAGACCATTGTGAAAACAGCAACTCTGGTGGTGAAAGCAAGCATCAGGGGAGAGTGAAACCACTGGTTCTTAACTCTAAAAAAAGGATAGGATGTTTCATATATAAATGTCAGAGATGTAAAATAAAAATTCAGCTACCCAAACTTATTGTATACTCTTTCAACTTATACGGATGTTTTTTGCTATCAGGCAAGACCATTATTTCTAGTATTTCTTCCATTTCTGTTGGTGAGTACAGCTGTATTTCATTGGACTAACTGTCATGCTATTCAAACACCTGAAGTGAAAATGCACTCAATTGATACTTGATGATACAACACTGGAACAGTACTGTGTAGGTCATTTTCTGTATATCCTAAGAACAAACTGAAAGACATCCAATAACATCTGCTGGAAGTGCAAAGGGCATCTGTCAGAATAAGAGTGACAGCTTTTCTTATCAACAGCTGAGTCAAAATCTGATAGATGGTTCCCATAGCCACAGTGAAACTTAATCATTGCTTATTGTCATTGCCCATTATCTTCAGCTGGCTAGCAAGGGCAAAACAAGCTAAACATGACAAGTTCTCCCTCTACATTATGTTCGTGTTGCAACCGACTGACACCTCAAATACAAGAAAATAATCAAGAGAAATATATTCGCGAAGGCTTTCATGGCCGGGATCTAATGGTTGTTGTGGGTTTTTCGGGCTCTTTGGCAGTGTTCAGAACACGGCCAAAGAGCCTGAAAAACACACAACAACCAATCAAGAGAAAATTCATGCAATTATATTATTTGACGTATTTGATATGCATGCCCTGCTGCTAAAACTATTACAGCTACCTTTTCAGTTACATATACTGTACAGTGGTGCCTCGCTTAGCGATTGCATCGTTTAACGCAGTGGTCCCCAACCTTGGGCCTCCAGATGTTCTTGGACTACAACTCCCAGAAGCCTTCACCACCACCTCTGCTGGCCAGGATTTCTGGGAGATGAAGTCCAAGAACATCAGGAGGCCCAAGGTTGGGGACCACTGGTTTAACGATGTATTCGCTTAGCGATGAGGTTTTTGGAGCGACCTTGTGCTCCGTTTAGCGATGGTTCCTATGGGGAAATTTCGCATATCGATGTTCGGGACCTTGCCTCGCTTAGCGATGACAGTTTAGGTCCCCCTGTTTCGCTTAGCGATGTCCGTTTTCACTATTTTAAGTGTGTCTTAAAATGTTCAAAAACTGTTTTAAATGCTTGGAATCGTTAGCGCACCTTGTAAAACCTTTGCAAACTTAATTTGGCTTTGTTCTGACTCTTCGTTAATTTTTGGTGAATTTAACCCNGTTTGACAGCTGTCAAACCTACAGTTCAATGCATTCCAATGGGGGGGAATTCACCAAAAATTAACGAAGAGTCAGAACAAAGCCAAACCTACAGTTCAATGCATTCCAATGGGGGGGGGGAATTCACCAAAAATTAACGAAGAGTCAGAACAAAGCCAAATTCCAAATATTTAAAACAGTTTTTGAACATTTTAAGACACTTTAAAAATAGCGAAAACAGACCTGTCAAAACCATTGAAATGCACTGAATAGGCTTCAATGCATTCCAATGGGGGAACCGTGTTTCACTTAGCAATGTTTCCTATGGCGATTTTCGCTTAAGGACGGTAATCCATTCCCATTGGAACGGATTATCCGGTTTTCAATGCATTCCTATGGGAAATGGTGTTTCGCTTAGCGATGGTTTCCCATAGCGATTTTTTTGAACCAATTAACATCGTTAAGCGAGGCACCACTGTATATATTTTATGTGCTGAACAAAACACATAAATGAAAGTTCCTGCCTCTCAGGCTTAATTTGTGAGAAATCTATGACAAACAATCTATTTTTCAGACTTTCAAAATCAAAAGCTTTGGTGTACAAAAATCACATGAGGATTGAAAACATGCATTTCAATTTACCAGAGAAGTTTATCCAATACAAACAGCAGATAAATCTATGCAAGAGAAAACTGTTTCTCTTGAGTCCTGTGATTCTCCTCTCCTATTTTGTAATAACACTAATTTGCAATGTGCATGTTCTACTTTTAATAAGCTCTAATAAAACTTATTTTATGTAGCTAGTCTAAATTCAATGTTAGTAGACCCACTGGAATTAATAAAATAAGAGGACTCAGAACTATTATAAGTGGCATTCATTTCAATGGGTTTATTCCATTTTGTTCTTAAATTGGACAAGCAAAGCTCATCCACTTTCCCACTTAATTCAGGAATAAATATTTAATACAAGCCTTATTTAGGGATTCAGGCCTCATGTGTTCCTCAATGTAAAACAGCAGGGATGTGATCCTTAGCCTAGACCCCTAGGTTGCAATGTGCAAGGCCTGGCACTGCCCCCCTCCTTATATTGTGATCTGTTTTCTGAAGTATATAGCTTGCTCTATATGCGTAGGTTCTCCAAGTGATTATGAAATCTAATCTGAAAACTCCGAACTCTAGAGATTCAGGCCTAAAGATTGGAGGGCAGCAGATCTAGGTCATCAGGCTGTAATAAAGTCAATGAAGCAGGTAAACAATTTTCTAGTGCACATGACCATGTGACATGGAAGTTTTGAGACCAGAAGTAATAAAGAAAGATTATTCTGAGACTGCAGGATGATACGTGATATTCCAGCACAAGGGACTACAATAGGTGGCTTCTGAATTACTGATGGTTGTACGCATTCTTTCTGAAGCTCAAAATCTTTGTGTGGTTCATTTTCATGAACAGGCTTCTGAGCTACTTTTTGGTACATCTTAATGCCTGACCGGAAAAAAATGTTAACTGTAAGCTTTCTTACTGTCGAAGTAACTTGTATCATCTTCTGATTCTAACTGTGGAATAAATTCTGCTTTTTGGCGGAGCAATCCATTCCAGTCCAAGTTCTTGAAGAACCTGTGCTGCTTCACTTCAAAAGCACCACCTGAAATGACAACATTGCAAAGGATTTCTAAAACCTTGTTTTTGGAAGTATAACCTAAACAATATAACATTCCTTTGAAACCTGATCTGAGACGACAACTTGGCCACAGAAAAATTACAGCCCACTAATTTACAGAAATAATGTTTCAGTAAATAAGTTAGAAGTATTATTACATATAAAACATATCAAAAATAAAACAAATATATTGCAGTACCTTAAAGACAAAGAGATTTATTTCAGTGTTAGCTTTCATGAATTAAAGTCAAATTCCTCAAAAAGACAGAGTGAAATATTCACTCACAGGTTTAGAGTACACATTAGCTTGGGTATTGACTCAGAGAAGAGAAATACAGGCACAGAAAATGAAATTACTATCACAAGTAAAGAGCTCTGTGAATATTGATTACATAAACATCGTAACTACAGCTAGGTGGTTAATTGTCAGCTCTTCAAGTTTATGCTTTTCTTTGAAGCACAAATTTGCTAAATCAGGTGGTGGGTTTTTCCCCCTGATTGACTTTGTGATTCTGCAGCCAGAGTAAAAATAAACAAATAAATAAATCTGTAGATTTTAAAGAAAAGTCTTAGTCTATTTAAGCCTTCAGAGTGCACCAAAATTTGTGGATGAAACCTACCTCAGTTGTCTCCCTCTCAAGTTATCCTATGTTGATTCTTTCCCCCCAAAACAGTCCTTTTGTATATTAATACTATCTGGAGTCACAGAGATGGGAGCAACTATAAAATCAAGTGTGGTGTCATAGATATTACCTGTTTTAGATTGTTGAGAAAGGCTGAGGAAATTGTAATTTTTATCAAACCCATATAAGAAAAATAAATTGTCCATTTTTAGTAATTTACAAAAAAAAACACCCAAACTTAGGTAAAAGAGGATATACAAAGGAAGCAATGTTTAATTATTTTTAAATCCTTTTTCTTTTTTTGAAAAGGAGAGGCAGATGGAACCCACTGAATGATGTGCCCAAGAAATCCTAATTAAAGGCTTGCATCTGCATTAGATATAAAAGATTATGGGTTAGGGTCCAGTAACTCCTTCAAATAAAAGCCATTAAATATACACTAGAGTGTTCTGAGATTTGTATACATGTAACCAAAAATCACATCACACAGAATCCTAAATACTGTACTGTACTTCAGCCAAAGGATAGCCCTGATTCAAGCCACCAGTGTACCAGGTGGTATTCTCGCATGAAGTTGCCAACACTCCATTTCTTGCTCAGAGTATCTGTTACATCAAAGGCTAACTTCTTGCATACAAAAAAGAGGCATATGTCATTGTAATTTGAAATTTAATTTATACAGTGGTATAAATTAAATGTAATTTATACAGAGCCACCCAAATAAAGGCATCACATGCTAAACTGCTCATGGAGTGCATTTGTGTGCTGAAGGGAAGATATATAAACTGCAGCATACAAAGAGATGAGGGGGTAATCTGATGGGTATCTCACATAAGTCTACTGCTACAAAACTGGTAAACAGAGCTGTTTGAAATTGTATGAAACTATGCTATATTATGGTTGTGTTTCTGCCTTCTAAACTGCTGGTTCTTGCCTAATATTCCAAAATATTTTATAGTAAAAAAATAATTAAGCCTGATCTCAGAGTGATACCTTAATATTTTATGCTATTGAGGAAACCTATACTGTACTATGTACAGTATGGTAAGAGCTCTGGTAAAGCCTATCAAGGTGACACTTAGAAAAGGAGTTTTGAATATGTTCAATTAACTGCTTTGTCTTCAGCTGAAAAATATAATGGCACATCATCCTAAGACATGAACATCTGTTACAATAGACAACTTTTGTAGGCTGTTTGCGAACTACAACCTCCACTGCTGCCTAATTGGTCCCACATTTGACAATGTAGCAGTAAAAAAAATATGTTAAAGAGATTTCTATTATAAATGAACATACTCAGAGACAACACGCCTTTTAAAGTGGATTTGTAACCCAAAAGCCTCCTGGAAGTGCCAATGTGATTTAAAATAAAGGAACTACTTGTTGTATGCCTTGATTTTAAGCAGAAATGTATTTCAAAAGCAGATTTTCCTGTTCCCATGATACTGAATTGTGATCATATGCTAGAGAGCCCCCAAAAGATTCCAGAGGAGGAAGAAATGGTCCCTGGATATATGTAAGTTGCCACTGATCTAAATAGATTAAGAGAAATTACTGAAAAACAGAAGGGAGAAATTATGTCATCACCTCATTTGTGAGAACTATGAGACAAAAATCCTGGTAAGTGATTGGATGTACAGTGGTGCCTCGCTTAGCGATCGCTCCGTTGAGCGATGAAATCGCTTTGTGATGGACTTTTGGCCATTGCTGGAGCGATCACTTAGCGATGTCCCCTATGGCTAAAATTCGCTTTGCGATGATCGCGGGGAAGCGATCATGGCAAAGCGAACTTTTTTAAACAGCTGATCGGCGGTTCCAAAATGGCCGCTGCAAAAAACATAATGGCCGCCACTGTTTTGCCTCGCTTTAGAGGCTCCCAAAACGGCCAACGCTATGGAGGAATTCCGCTTTAAGGTACGTTTTTAGCCCATAGGAACGTATTAAACGCGTTTTTAATACGTTCCTATGGGCTTTTTAATATCGCTTAGCGATTAAATCACTTAGCGATGTTTTTACCGGAACGGATTAACATTGCTAAGTGAGGCACCACTGTATATTTTTTGGTGTCATTGATTTTCAATGTTTGTTTAAGCTTAAAAAATGTAAGCAAATAAATGCTGTAGAACAGTGGTCCCCAACCCCAGTCTGTGACCTGGCAGCGGTCCAGGACCTGTGTCCGTGGCCTAGGCAGGACCGGACCACGGACACAGATCTCCCCCCGGAGCGCTCCCCCCCGCAAGCGTGCCCCACCCCCTGTGACACGTTGCCCTGTGAGTGTGACATGCCACCCCGTGAGCACAACATGCCCCCACCAACCAGTCCGCGGTTGGGAAAAGATTGGGGACCACTGCTGTAGAGTACAGAACAGTATGGCAGTACTGTCAAATGAAGCAAAAGAGATAGAAATAGAAACACTTAAAATGCCACACTATCCAAAAGTGAACCAGCTTTATCATGATTAAATTGTGTTTCAGAGCTTTCAAACAGTACCCAGCACTGGCACCTGCTAGAGCAGAGTGGATTGGATGGGAGATAGCATGTTGTGATACTTGTAACAAGTTAAGAATTGGAAAAAATCACATATTAATCCCTTTTCCATATGCAGTGATAACTTTCCACTACAGAACCATTCACAGGTTTTATCATTAAACCATAAACAAATTAAAAAGAAAATTACTAAGGCAATTAATTAGTTATATTGTCACTGCACATTCTTCCCTGTAATTAGCAGTGGCCAGAGTGCCACTAGTGGCCCTGTAAGGTTTACACAGCTTTTCAGAGCTAATTATACTTGAGCTGTTGTGTCTTGTGCTACCAAGATGCATTTCATCAAGGAGCCACAATTTGCAGCTGCAAGTTATGCAGACCTTATGTGAATTTAGAATTCTGATTTTTTTTTCAAACATCAACCTGGATTTGAATTCACTATTTCTAGAAAGTTCTTTTAAAAGATAACAATAAAAATAAATGTGTATCTGCACCTGTTCCAAGTCTTTCCATTGGGTTTTGTCGGAGAAGTTTACCAATGAGGTCCTGTGAATCTGGAGGTAACGCTTCCTCTCCTTCTGGCCAGGCAATCTCATCTACAGAAATCATATTGAACAGATTAGATCCAATAAAACTCCTAGGCTTAATCCAAATTATGAACATAATTGCTTTAATGAAAGAGGGCTTTCCTGACCCCTGCTCCCCAAATCCGGTCCCCTGTGGCCCATAAAAGCCATTCCTGATCTCATGGAAACCTGTAGATAACAAGTGCAGGACATTAGCAGTAGACGAAAATGAAACTGGCAAGAATGGGGAGCACTGACTTTGAGCCAATTAAAGTAGTCAACCTCGCTGTTACTTTTGCATTCAAATCATGGTGTTAAAGATACAACACAGATTAAAATCTCCTTATTAAATAAACTATTGTTAATCAAATGAAGTTATAGCAGGTTATCTGGTTTCCATTAGTAAGCACTGCAGGGAGCTACATAAGGGCCATCTCATCATTACATATTATGGTGTATGTTCAGAATGCACACCTTCAGCGTGTGTGTGTGATTTATGAACAAAAAAGCTATCCCATGTTGCATGAAAATTGGTGCTTATGAAATTTACATTGTGTAATTGCTAATGCTATAAGGTATGAAAGTGTCATATATAAATGTTAATGTGAGTCTCAATTAAAGCACAGAATATAAACCTATACTTAAAGGAAGATTCCGTATTATAAACTGAAATTATTTTGAGATCCGTATTAGAATGGAATGTTATAGCTGCAAGCATAAATTCTATTATTATCCCCAATGTTGTTCTTGTTAAGTGAAATGAAGTTCATCTCACTAATTCGCAGAACCATGTTAAAATCATCAGGAGGCCTTTCTCTTGGTACTGCCACCTTCACAGGTGGCTTGGTGGGGATACAGGAGAGAGCTTTTCTCTGTTGCTGCTCTGAGACTTGGAATTCCCTTCTACAAGAGGCCAGGCTGGCCCCATCTTTGCTGTCCTTCTGCAAGCAGGTGAAGACCTTTCTCTTCAGGCAAGCTTTCCCTTAATGACTGGCTGCCTGGGTGGGGTTTCAAAATAGATTATTATACAGTGGTGCCTCGCTTAACGAGCACACCATTTAATGACGAATCCGCATAGCGATGCGTTTTTTGCGATCGCTAATGCGATTGCATTGCGATGTTTTAGGTGGCAAAACATCGCATTGCGATGATCGGTAAGCGTTTCGCTTACCAATCTTCCCATTGCGATGTTTAGAAAACAGCTGATTGGTGGCTCCAAAATGGCTGCTGGGTGCAGAACATGGCCGCCCGCAGCGTTTTCGCGCCCTGCCCTCGCTTATCGAGGCGGCGAAAATGGCGGCCAGATGGGGAATCTTTGCTTCCCGGTGAGTTTTCCCCCCATAGGAACACATTAAACGGAGTTTAAAGCATTCCTATGGGGTTTTACGTTCCGTATAGAGATGTTTCCAGATAGTGATGTTAATCCTGGAACAGATTAACATCGCTATGCGGGACACCACTGTACTTTACTGCTTTGAACATGTTTGGTGTTGCTTTTATTTACCCCCTTTTTAGTATGGTATTTGTTTGATCCTTTTCAGCATTTATATACTCACTGCTCCTGGTTTTAAAAACTGTCTTTTAATGATGCAAGGTGCCTTGGGTCCTTTTTAAGAAGAAAGGGAAGGAAAAATATTTTTAATAACATAAATAAATAAATAATAAACCTATTCCAGAGCAAATTGGTAGAAACAATTATTAAGGTTAGAACTGTTGTAACACACAGACACACACACACACACACACACAACCCAAAAAAACCACACCAGTCTTGCTAAGGAAATAATAAAATGGGAAAATCCTGCTTCACTAACATCCTGGGGTTCTCTGAGAGCATCAATAAGGAAGAAGGTGAGAAAATCCCTGATTAAAGTCTCCAAAGCAAATTTACCAACATTTTCATCCCTGAGCACATAAGTTACCAGTTTAGGTGGTACATGGGGCTATACACAGACAATCCATATTTTTTAATTTAAAAAGCAAAACTGGCATTTATTTAATTTTTATTGTCATCTTATTTTTTCCTACTTCATTACATCCTCTCTTACTTTAATTTCCCCACTCCATTTTCCTCATTCCTCTGTCTCCTCACATGACTGCAAATCATCAGCTTTAACAGTCAGAGGCAATATTCACAGAGCCCTCTGCCAAAGCACCTGCAGAAAACCCTCTGAGAGTGCTGCTAGAGCATTTCTAAGTCTGATGATATTACACAGCAGCATGTTTATGGCCAAAATACAGCAGCTGTGAGAATCAACTGAGATGTGTGAAATCAACCTGGAATAGCAGGAGAAAACTTCAGGTGAAGGGAATGGGATACCAAATAGGCGGCAGCAGCAACCGAGTAAATTGGTGGGAATTTGCTAAAGAGAAGACTCTTACAGAGTCTTTGGGAGCTGTGCTTCAGTTTGGGGAAAGTCAAGCTCAAGGGCTACACAGTCCTGATTTAGTAGATAAGGCACATGCAATAGCTAAAGAGCCCCCAGGTTTAGAGGCAGTATGCTTTTGAATTCCGGCTCTAGGGTAAAGTGCAGGGAAGAGCAACTGCTTCCTAATCAGTTTGTGTAGTTTCCAAAAGCATCCAGATGATTATTTAAAAAATAATTATTGTTGGCCTAGACAGAGCTTTGGTTTCTTCCAAAAGGACTCTCATGCACCATTCTTATAAATGAATTAGCTGCATGATCCTAGTTTACAAGAAGCTCCCACATCAGAATCTTGCTTTTCCTTCATTGTTCTTTTAATGGTTTGACTGATATCAAGATTCCATTTCAGTGTTTATTATGTCCATTGTATCTTTGTTGAAAGCTGTCTGGGAAGCTTGAATGTTGATTAATTAAATTGTCTTAGAGTCTTTTATGAAACACAGGCATAAACAACATGTCTTGATATAGAGATACAATACATACCACTGATAACTTGCCCAAATAACTCTTCTGGTGTATCACCAAAAAACGGAACACAGCCAACTAGAAACTCATAAAGTATTACTCCCATGGCCCACCAATCCACTGGCTTCCCGTAACCCTGCCGCAATATCACTTCTGGAGCAATATATTCTGGAGTTCCACACACCTGAAAAAGAAAGTGAGGAACAATTAAAGTGCAGAAAATAACTTGATACTTAAAGGCACTGCTATTCTGCATAGCTCATGGCATGTGGATACTTCTTAAGATAGTATTGCAGACTATATATTAATATAATTATAATATACCCAACAGCATAAGAGGATTGTCATGAATTGGGTACTCCGCTGATCCTAAGGCTCCCAAAGTTCTCCCCAGGTCAAAAAGAATCCTGAAGGAGTCTCAGAATCTAGAGTGTGTAATTATATTTAATACGTAATAAAATCCATGCCTGATGACATAATTATCTTGAGCTTGTGTAAATTTACATTATAGGATTTTGGTCATTATATGCTATGAGAATATTAAGAAAATTGTTTGGGGAAAGGCATGAGCACAACTAGATGGGTCTGATGCTGCAGTACAAATAATCACAGTATTTTAAGGACTCTTGAATAAATTTGGATTGCTGTCATGAAGTGACATGCTGCAAAAACTGCGATGAGCATTTGTTCTTTGTATCTTTAAAGAACAGTCTGTGGAGTTACTCACAGAGATTTTTTTAAAAAATGTATTTCTGCTTACCTGTTTATCCAAGAATTCTCGTGCATCTTTTTCAATATGATCTTCATACAGGTTAGTTGTCAGGCTCATTAAGCCAATTTTAGAGAGGCCAAAGTCAGTCAGTTTGATATGACCCATTGATGTTATGAGAAGACTGAATAAGAAGTAAGAGAGATCAATGTTAAAAGATATTTTTGAAAAATCAAGCAAACAACAGTGTTATACTATTACCTACTGAAATACTTGATAACATGTTATTACTTTAACAGTTTGACACAGAAAGTATAGTCTTATAGGAGAAAGAATGAAACATCTAAACAGACTTGGGTGAGTATTTCAATATACTGTACCACAATTTAAAATGCACATTTATAAAATTTTCCAACTTTTACATAGTACAAATTAAGTAGATGGATTTTGCCAAAAAGAGGTTATTAATATATGACCATATGCTAACGATAATGACAAGATAATGGGAAAGGTTAATCAGATGTATGGCATAGTAGTGAACTTTTTATTCACCACCATCTCCACCTCCAGTGGGGGAAAATCTGAATGCTGTTCTAACATGGGGGTTTCAGGGGGAGACTATTTCCTTAGGTATGCTGAACCAAAGTGTGGAATTAATCTGGGGCATCTTTAGATGCTTGGAAGCTAATCAGCAAAATTTCATGTTGCAGCTCAGCCAGTTCAGAACAGTCTGATATACATACCTGGGGTTCAATCAAGACTTACTCATGCTTAGAGCAGATGAAGTGAAATCAGTGAAACTTCAGTCATGATAACTGTGTTAAGTCATATCTATTTCAGTGACTCTACACTATGGTATAACTAAGTCTGGATTCAACACACTGTAAATTGAAATGGCCAAAATCCAAAAATTATGCCAGTATAACTCCATCAGTATAAATTTCAGCTGTGAAATACTGCATATTAGGAAGTTGGTGTAAGCACTTATTGTTTTAAAATCTTTCATCTATGGAGTTGCACCAGTAGGTAAAATTAATATGATTCTGACCAATAAATGGGCTAAGTCTCATGCTTCAAATTATATGGCATTTTTGGTTATGGTTTTACTTCCATTAATTTGTTTGCTAAGTAAGAGGACAAACATTGTTGCATTTAAAAAGTAAAACCCATTTTTAATTCTGTGGATATTGTTATAGAAGGAAGAGATCAAATACATACACAAAATCACAACGTGACATTTGTCAATAAGTAGATCAGTAACAAGAGCAAACCTGGAAAAAAAATTAAAAGTTGCCCTTGTAGAAGACAGAATATGGCACATGTTGTTCTTGTAACTATTTTTAGCAAGGACAGCTGCAACTGCAGGTCCAAACATGAGAAGCTAAAAGCGTACTTGTCAGGCTTTAGGTCACGGTGAACGATGCCATAATTGTGGAGATATTCCAGTGCCAGCACAGTTTCTGCAAAATACATCCTTGCCATATCAACAGGCAAAGCTCCGATATTCTTCAAAAGAGTTGCACAGTCTCCTCCTGGACCAAAATGAAAATACAGCATACACAGCATTTGGATCAATTATCATATGCCAGTGAAAGCTGAGAAATTACAACTTGCATACTTGTCTGTTCAAAATAAGTCCCACTGAGGCTGACTCTGAGAGAAGTGGACAGAAGATTGCAGTTCTACACAACTACTTTTTAAGAACAACTTCCTTTACGCCTGGGCCATGTTTTGGCAGAGTGTGCTGCCTCTGGCATAATGACTGCACAGGTGGGGTGGGGTGGTAGCTTTGTTCTGGCTTGCTTCTCACTGGATACATGCACAACTATGATCAGTTCCCATGGAGGTTCAAAACAGAAAAGGCGGCAAGCAAACTGAGAAATGGTAGGCCATTTCTGAAGTAGCATGGCAATCTTGACACCCAGTGGCCAGTGGAATGTTCCCTACTGTAGTGATATTGCAAGCAATTTTCATTAATTAAGGACATTTCAAAACAAGAATACTTAACATGCAGAAACACAACACTGAAACCACATAGGGACAATCTGTATCACTACTCACTAAGAGACTATTTAGGCAACACAAGCACACCAATATGCATCTCTGAGAATATTGGAAAGTATACAGTTTCACATTGTAGTCACAACTGTTGTGATTGCGGGTTCCAGTGTGCATCTGTGCATATTGTAATAAAAATGTTAAACATGTTGCAATGCTTGAAATAAATGGTTCAGACTTTAGCACTAAAGTTTACTAAGACTCCAAAGATAGGTAGTGTTCTTGTCCTTGACAAATTTTTGGTTCATCATATAGTACTCTACTGATATGCTGGGAAGTGCAACAGTAATCTTATGAGAGGTTTGCATTATTCAGTGAGGAACTAGCTAGTTGCTGCAAACCACTTGTGGAACTACTGCTATACATGTGGACCTTTCAACAGGATACTGGCTAAAAGTTGAGGCAATGTGCAGGATATAATGCTTTCTGGAATCTACAGGATCCAATTCACTGTGACATTTGGAAATCAAAATCTTGGCTAAACCTTCAGAATATAAGGAAATAAATGCAAACATGGAATACTGGTAATGTTTACTCATAAAAACCCTTGCTACATGGATACAGAAACACATGCCTTCTTCTATTTAAAGTTTCTGAACAGCTGTCAAATGCATTTCTGTGTTTAGTGCACCATACCAGGATTTTCAGTTATGAATTAAATCAAATCAAGGCCAGGCCTGGCCTTTATTTAACTAAAATTTCCAATACATTCATGTCACAATAGCTGAAATTCTGCAGCTTAGTACAGTAAATCACAACTAGGAACAGCAATTGAATCAGTTGCTATTTGGTGAGTCAACTCCTACATAGGTTCCACTAATCCACTGGGCTACTCTAGTTGCGACTAACTCTGCTAAGCAATAGGATCTCCGCCAATATCTCCCAACTACCACTACAGTGTGCAGTTCTGTCTGGACCCTGTTCTGGTCACTAGCAGTCTTCCAAATCCACAGTTACGAGGCAAGTAAAGGAATGTGTGATTGGTTTCATGCCCTGTGAACATTTGTCAGCTTCTCTCTTCCACAGAAGCTTCAGAAGCAGATACCAATGCCTCCAGACAAGAGCAGATACAGCCAACCACAATGACAATAGCCCTCAAGGAAATTTCTACAACAATCCCTTGTTAAAACACTGGATTCATAATGTGGATGTATCATTCTACTTTCAAAAATGGACCTTGTGATTTTGATTCTAGACTTACGTAATACTAAGCAGCACTTAGGGTCCATTAGGACATAAGAGTCAGCATATACTGTGCTCACTGTCTCTCTCATAATAGAACCAAGGTTCCCTCTAAGATGCACAGCTGCATGAGTGCACACAACTCTGTGCAGATTTCCTCCTCTTCTGCGCACCCACAGGAAGCGGTTTCAGACCATTTGATTCTGGTTGCGATGGAAGCCTGAGGATGATGGAGTTGCATGTGGACAGAATCGCATGCAAGAGGGGTGGAGCCCTACCCAGCAGGGCTGAAAATCAGAGGGAACACTGAATGGAACCCACTTAAATCAATATTTAATGATCAGTATTAGAATTTGGTGAATTCTGTGGTGGTAAAACAATACCTTCCACGTACTCCATGACCATACAAAGGTGCCGCTTCGTTTCAAAGGAGCAGAACATGCTGACAACAAAGGGGTTTTCAGCAAAAGTTAAGATGTCTCTTTCTACAAAAGCTTGTTGAATTTGATTTCTCAATATGAGATTCTGTTTATTGATCTTCTTCACTGCAAAGCGCTCATGAGTAGTCCTGTGACGCACCAAGAACACTGCACTGAGAGAACACAAAAAAATTGAAATGTCATCATCAAGTCCTCAACTGTCTGAAGTTTCAAATGTTTGACCTCTCATGAAAACTATCAAAATGTAAAGAATGAAGTACAAATGTTCCACCCTTCTTTCTCTGCTTCTATTACAATGTTAAACAAGTGGACAAGATTTCTGCTGGACTCGCAGTAATCCTCAGTAAAAGTGGGAAGTCCAAGTTCATACATTACAGAAAAAATGGAGAAAGAAGATGTGTAGTAATACTAGAACTAGATTTTGAAAATGAAGTAATGTATTGTTCCAGTACTGCAAATCATAAATTACCATTACCGTATTTGCCGGAGTACAAGATGACTTTTTGGCCCTGAAAAACATGCCGCCAAGTTTGGGGGGGGTCGTCTTATACGCAGGGTGCACTTCCAGCAAACCCTCCCTCTCTCCCAGCTAAGTCACTTACCTGGTAGTAAGACCGAGTAGACAGCCCC